AGTACAAAGACTATAAGTTTTACAGAAAACTTTGATCACTTTATTATGATACGTGCCGACTTTGTCGTAGTGTCGTTGCGATATATGTGCAAAATAGCAATAGCTTCATATTTCGTGTCTATTAATTTGAATGAAAAAAAAATCGGATTTAACAGTGCAATAATTTAACAAATGTTTTGCAGAAGTGTGAAAAATGCAGATTATATGATATTATATACCCATGGTTCTTTGTTCATGTGTAAAGAAGGAAGTACATACTGTTTTAATTACCTCTCCATGAAATCTCGTATATTCAACAATGCACTGCCCCGTTATTACTATAGTCGCTAAATATTGCAGTAATGGGTTTCGAATTCACTGTCAGTACTGAAAATCTATAATATACGTGATGTAAACTATAGATTTTCGGTACTTGTAGCTAGCCTTTGTTATTCTCTGAATACTAATTTATGAACTTGTTTATGTAACACACTCATATTTTATTTATCAAACATAAATATTTTTAGCAATACTGTTTCGAAAATATCGAGATCTGAATGAATAATATAATATATACTATATAGCATATGTAATTATATACATACATATAATTACATATTGTATGGATTATATAATAAAAATATGCGCTAAAATTTATAGCACATATACACATACAAATTCTTTTACAAATTCTTTTGAAACTTGTAATTATGTGACCGCATAATATATTTAAAATGTAATATAACATATATATATATATATAACACAACATTAAATAACATATAAAATAAGTTGAAAGAAGAATTATTCTTATGTGCGCAATAATTAGTAACATCAAATTACCTGAAATCCAAATATTTCCATTTGATAATATTCAAATAATTTATACAAGACTCTACGAAGAAAAAAATTTCTTTCTTAAATAATTATCTCGAAGTTATAGAATAGATCACCGTAAAATAAGATATTGACATGCTCGCAAGCTGTAAATTTATAATTTTGGTTTAAATTAAATTTAAGAATAACTATTAGAGAATTAATTGTATTTATTACCGTAGAAAAACCTTTTAGCGAGACTACAAATATTCCTCCAAAAACGAAAGAAAAATTTTTTGAGGTTCTCTGCATTATGAACAATAATAATCTCTGTGCACGCAATGGTGCCGTATACCAGTATGAATCATATCTACGTGAGAAAGAGAAAAAATATTTTACTCGTAAAATATATTCAATGTTTATTTTTTCCATGGCAGTAGTACACTTTGATCTTATTTCTTAAAAATATTCTTTCTATATTTTTTAAATGCATTATATATACAGGGTGTAACATATAAATGGGCTGCTACTTCAGGAGTATATTCTACTTGTCGAAATAAGCAAAAAAGTTCATATAAAGTTCGTACGTCTAAAAACGCATCGTTTTCATATTACATAGTCATGTTTAAAGGAATATGAAGAATAGTTCACCAGTGGTTCCCTGCTGTCTTCGTGTTTTTAGGGTCATCTAAAACAAATTGTCTACCCCCGGCCTGTTGACAACATTAATAATCTTCGTCAGCGCATAGTAAACGGGTTCAATAAAATACGCAACATGCCGAATGTTTGTAAAATAAGAAAAGATTGGTAAAAAGATGGGCAGAGCAGTGTATTTTGGCTGGGTCACTATAAACATTTGCTTTAAGATTTGTTTTATTTCACTTGTATTTTCTGCTGTTTTGTATTGTTAGAAATAAAATAATAGGTAATATTACGCTTTGTAATTGTCACTTGTTTCAATTCAAACATGACTGTAACGTGAAAACGATGCATTTTTGGACATACGTTTATATAAACTTTTTTGCTCATTTTGATGAGTAGACTACACCCTTGAAGTAGCGACCGACATTTATGTTACACCCTGTATACATAAAATATAGAATACACTCTGTATAACATATACCTTTACAACGTACGTTACTTACGTCGCATTAAATACTTCGGAATAATGGTCCATAACTATTTGTCCACCATAATTCCCTAGATACAAATAACAGAGTTGTGCGGAAACAAACGTAAAAGTTGTAAACAGTTCATTCATGTTACTTGTAGATAACGCGATGAAAACCTAGAATTACGCCTGATGTGTAGATCAGAGTATAGACAGAGTAGTGTTTAGAAAAAGCCAAAAATATATTTTTTAATTAATTGTAGGAATGCCATGGATTGACTATTATGATACATTCCAATTTAAGAAATTGACACTAACCTGAAATATATTAAGAGCTAACGAAGCCACCCCCACAGAGAGCAATACGAAAAAAGGTTTTCTCAAATCAGACACGATCGAATCAGCAAACCTTCAACAACGAAATAATATAATATAATTGTGATATTCATAATTACGCTAAATGTAGTATAAATGATTATGACCGAGAGAGATAGATATTAAA